ACAGGGATAACACATGGAGAGCATCACAGGGATAACACATGAAGAGCATCACAGAGATAAAACATGAAGAACATCACAGGGATAACACATGAAGAGCATCACAGCGATAACACAAGGCACATCACAGGTATGCAACAGGGGTGTGGTCCATTGTTTTCAATTCCCTTTCATTCAGAAAGTAATTTGACATGTAGATCCTCATAGAAAATGATTGACAATTAACTGGTTGACAATTATCAGTTGACTTCCTGTATTGACTGAATTAACCACCACCCTGACACGCAGTAGAGATCAGGTGGTTGTCAGCGCATTGTCTAATTTGCTGAGGGATTCAACGAGCACTGCTACTCAAGCCTAAAGGCTCATGTCGCCATCTTGTGGCCATAGAGGGTTGGCACACAAAAGTTGGGTCCTTCTTCCTGTGTTCCTAATTCAAGTAGATAATACGGCCTTTTTTCAAACCATGGACTCATTTTCAAGTTCATCAAATGCACTGAAGTACCTGCAAATGAATGATACATTGTCAATAACCACAGCACATATAACATGTGACTTAAGTTCCATTCAACCAGTCTAACTGTAGCCTACTGCAGAGTTCATTGAATTTTCCCAGCACATGACTGCATCCCATGGTAACCATGTGGTTGGAAGTAAGAGCAATGTTTAACTCCTACCTCACCACCACTAAACTGTTGTGAAAATATGAGACCTACAAAATGTAATCTTCATCAAAACTCCATTATCATACATTTTTATTACGACATCTTGATAACAGATTGTTATCGACCAGCTTTGATCTCAAAGTCCACTTATTCAAATTGCTAAACAGTAGGAAGTAACATTTGAACAATATACAGTGCCTTCAGAAAGAATCCACACCCCTTTACTTTTTCCACATTTTGTTGTGTTACAAAGTGGGATTAAAATAGATTTAACTGTCTTTTTTTTTGTCAATGATCTACACAAAATACTCTGTAATGTCAAAGTCAAAAAATTCTAACATTAGTAAAAAATAATAAACAAATAAACAAAACACTAATATATCTTGATTGGATAAGTATTCAACCCCCTGAGTCAATACATGTTATACAACGGATGGGTGTAACCCTGAATGCTGATTTGTTAAAACCGCATTGCAGCCGGTGTGTATTCCACAAATTACCACCAGCTAAATCTATGAAGTTAAAATGCCTACAGTTAAAGTCAGAAGTTTACATACACCTTAGCCAAATACATTTAAACTCAGTATTTCACAATTCCTGACATTTAATCCTAGTAAAAGTTCCCTGTCTTAGGTCAGTTTGGATCCCCACTTTATTTTAAGAATGTGAAATGGCAGAATAATAGTAGAGAGAATGATTTATTTCAGCTTTTATTTCATTCATCACATTCCCAGTGGGTCAGAAGTTTACATCCACTCAATTAGTATTTGGTAGCATTGCCTTTAAATTGTTTAACTTGGGTCTAAACGTTTCGGGTAGCCTTCCACAAGCTTCCCACAATAAGTTGGGTGAATTTTGGCCCATTCCTCCTGACAGAGCTGGTGTAACTGAGTCAGGTTTGTAGGCCTCCTTGCTCGCACACGCTTTTTCAGTTCTGCCCACAAATTTTCTATAGGATTGAGGTCAGGGCTTTGTGATGGCCACTCCAATACCTTGACTTTGTTGTCCTTAAGCCATTTTGCCACGACTTTGGAAGTATGCTTGGGGTCATTGTCCATTTGGAAGACCCATTTGCAACCAAGCTTTAACTTCCTGACTGATGTCTTGAGATGTTGCTTCCATATATCCACATAATTTTCCTTCCTCATGATGCCATCTATTTTGTGAAGTGCACCAGTCCCTCCTGCAGCAAAGCACCCCCACAGCATGATGCTGCCACCCCCGTGCTTCACGGTTGGGATGGTGTTCTTCGGCTTGCAAGTACCCCCTTTTTCCTCCAAACATAACAATGGTCATTATGGGCAAACAGTTCTATTTTTGTTTCATCAGACCAGAGGACATTTCTCCAAAAAGTACGATCTTTGTCCCCATGTGCAGTTGCAAACCGTAGTCTGGATTTTTTTATGGCGGTTTTGGAGCAGTGGCTTCTTTCTTGCTGAGCGGCCTTTCTGGTTATGTCGATATAGGACTCGTTTTACTGTGGATATAGATACTTTTGTACCTGTTTCTTGTTTGTACAGATGAACGTGATACCTTCAGGCGTTTGGAAATTGCTCCCAAGGATGAACCAGACTTGTGGAGGTCTACAATTTTTGTCTGATTTCTTTTGATTTTCCCATGATGTCAAGCAAAGAGGCACTGAGTTTGAAGGTAGGCCTTGAAATACATCCACAGGTACACCTCCAATTGACTCAAATTATGTCAGTTAGCCTATCAGAAGCTTCTAAAGCCATTACATAATTTTCTGGAATTTTCCAAGGTGTTTAAAGGCCCAGTCAACTTAGTGTATGTCAACTTCTGACCCACTGGAATTGTGATACAGTGAATTATAAGTGAAATAATCTATCTGTAAACAATTGTTGGAAAAATTACTTGTGTCATGCACAAAATAGATGTCCTAACCGACTTGCCAAAACTATAGTTTGTTAACAAGAAATTTGTGGAGTGGTTGAAAAACGAGTTTTAATGACTCCAACCTAAGTGTATGTAAACCTCCGACTTCAACTGTATTTACTCTGTTCCATCTGACTGCCCAATCCACTGTCTCATCAGCCCAGCCAGGCAATTTATAAACTTGATCTCCACTATAAAAAGCATCTAGACATGATCTCACATTTCTTTTAGACTAACATTTCGTTTTCAACAGCGGAGATTTGTATAAACCTTGCTGTCTGTCTCTCCGACATTTGCAACATTGTTTCAATATTAAAATTCGATCTCCAGCTGTCGCATAGTAATGAATGTGTTGGGAGTCGGGATGAGACAGACCAGCAGGCAGCTTTTCGAAATCATGAATCAGCATCATTTTTATGGATATATACAAAGAAATATCAATAGAAAACAGGTAAAATGAAACGAAGTGCAGCTATTTTGCCGTCTCTCCAGCTTCAGTTTGAAGTGATTGTGTTAGCTGTGTTGTTGGCTAGCTCCTCTGAACAACAGTGTCCTGACGAGTGAGCACATTTTCTATGCCAGGCGAAATCGAGCGTCAATAGCTCATTGTTATGGATGTATCCAAATAAATGTCACTAGAAAACAGCTTAAACAAATGCAAATTCAGCTACTTTGTTGTTTTCTGGCTACACTGTTTGACGTGACTGTAAGTTAGTCGTAGTTGGCTCGCTAGCAAGCAAGGGATAAGAACGTTGCCAGCCAGTATGGCAATAGAACATCTAGAATGAAAAACTGGGTCGCGTCCATAGTTACAGAACAAAAATACTTAACGACTGGGTCGCGTACCTGGCAACTGACCAATAGAACGAACGACCAGCCGGCTTGGGTTGCATCCCTGGATTTGTGTCGGGTCTATATCTTGTGGAAGGATGAAATAGTATGAATAAATTCATCCAAATAACATTTTTTATGAAAATATGTAAATCATTATTTGAATATGTTGGCAACCCGTTGTATAAAGTGATAATGCCCTCCAAGCCGGTGTTTGGAGGATACAAACACCAGTTTCTATCACTTAATTAGAATCAACTTTGGCAGCAATTACAGCTGTGAGTCTTTCTGGGTAAGTCTATAAGAGCTTTGCACACCTGGATTGTACAATATTTGCACATTATTCTTTAAACAATTCTTCAAGCTCTGTCAAGTTGGTTGTTGATCATTGCTAGACAGCCATTTTCAAGTCTTGCCATAGATTTTCAAACGGATTTAAATCAAAACTCTAATTAAGCAACTTAGAAACATTTAATGTTGTCTTGGTAAGCAACTCCAATGTATATTTGGCCTTTTGTTTTAGGTTATTCTCCTACTGAAAGGTGGATTTGTCTCCCAGTGTCTGTTGGATAGCAGACTGAACCAGGTTTTCCTCTAGGATTTACCTCTGCTTAGCTCTATTCCGTTACAATGTTGTTGATCCCATCCTCAGTTTTCTCCTATCACAGCCATTAAACTCTGTAACTGTTTTAAAGTCAACATTGGCCTCATGGTGAAATCCCTGAGCAGTTTCCTTCCTTTCCGGCAGCTGAGTTAGGAAGGACGCCTATAACTTTGTAGTGACTGGGTGTATTGATACACCATCCAAAATGTAATTAAGAACTTTACCATTCTCTCAAAGGGATATTCAACGTCAGATTTTTAAAAATGTTTAGCAATCTACCAATACGTGCCCTTCTTTGCGAGGCATTGGAAAACCTCCCTGGTCTTTGTGGTTGAAACTGTGTTTGAAATTCACTGCTCGACTGAGGGACCTTTTATAATTGTGTGGGGTACAGAGATGAGGTAGTCATTTAAAAATCACTTTAACCACTATTATTGTCCATGCAATTTATTATGTGACTTGTTTTACTGAACTTATTCAGGCTTGCCATAACAAAGGCGTTGAATACTTAATGACTCCAGACATTTCAGCTTTTCATTTTTAATTAATTTTTAAAAAATGTTTAAAAACATAGTTCCACTTTGACATCATGGGGTATTGTGTGTAGGCCAATCTCAATTTAATCAATTTTAAATAAAGGCTGTAACGCAACAAAAAAAGTCAAGGAGTGTGAATACTTTCTGAAGCCACTGTAGATAACCATGTAGGAAGCTGAGCTTATCTAGCAACACAATAGACTATTAGAATGTTAAAGACTATTAAAGGTGTAGATTTTAAAGGGACAATCCGCAGTTGAAAGTGGTCACCTGACCTCAGTTTTGGTTAAAAAAAACTGAGGGAAGATCCTGGAGAAATGTAACCACTCTCAAATTCATAGACAGAGCAATGTTTATAAACATTGGCGTAAAACAAGCTTATATTTGGGGTTCTGATGGGGTTAGACATTTGAACTAAGCTCATGAGGCATTTAGAAGTTATATATCATTCATTTATAAGTCAAAAAATGGATGTAGCAACTGCAGATTGCCCCTTTTAAAGTAACACTCAATGTTCTGGAGAAGCATATTTTATGTCTCCGACATCTTTTAGCCTCTTCTCACTGTCTTGGATTGTCTTTTCAGGGGTGTTTTGAGCAATCAGTCTGTTTTTTTTTTTATCTGTGTTACCAAAAATCTCCTAATGATTTTTGTCAAAACACTTCACACGAAGGCCTACATAGTGTTGTCATAACAACGGTATAGAGTAGACGATTACATAAAATTGTCGTGACAGATTATGTCAGTTCATGACAATTGACTCCTGAGCTAAATAACAGCTTGTATCGTGCTATGACATATTCATGACAGTTTTACATCGGCTAATGACGGAGGCTTCAAGTAAAATGTAATAACAAATCTCACAGTGACGTTTTCAAATCACGCAGGCATATACAATTCACTGGAACATGAAAGTATTATTTTTTTTTTTATTTTGCAAGACCAATTATCAAAATGTTGAGTATAAAAGGAGAGCAGTAAAATGTACACCAAATATGACGGTTCTCTCTTTTTTGGGATTTCAGTGGACGAGTTTTATCTTGAATGTTCAAAGATTGTAGTCACTCTGGAAGAAGATCAGCCAACATGACGTTCCTTGCTTTATGAATATTTGGAAGGTCTCGGTGGTCCACACCATGTCAATTCTAGAAAATGACTAGAGGGGCTATGTCATAAACCCTCAAAAGTTCCACAGTGGGCTGAAAATGGCAGCCATATTGGTCAGGTAGAAAACCGAACCAGTCTAATTAGAATGAATAGCAGTAGAGGCAGAATCCTGATTTGTTTTATGCAGGACAATAAAAGTAAGGAATTCTTGGAGGTATGTGGGTTTAGAGAATGAGGGGAAGGCACTGCAAATGTTGACTTATACTTTACATTTGGCACCTGAGCCAAAGTCTCGCCACATATTCTCAAGGTTAGACAAAACACAATGTTATGATGATCATCACAATGATTTGTGAGATAGAATTTCGCCATGAATCCCTTTAAGCCTTCTTGAAAATCCTCTTGGCATCCACCCCGTCGTAGTTGTAGCTCTGTTGGAGAAGAGAGTCCTTAATCCATGTAAAAAGGTTGACGTTTTCATTGAAATATAAACACCGGCACAGTGAGTACACTAGAGACTACCATGTGAATGCCTCTCACTTCTGATTACAATGCTTATGCAGTTATAACAATAATATTGGGAACGTTTCAGCAGGACAAAGTTTTCATTCATAAGCATTAATATACTATCTAGGTGGGGTATATAGATGTTCTAAACATTTATCTGCATTTATGTAAAAAAAAAAAAAAAATCTGCATTAGCATTTATAACATTTCAGATTGTAACCATTGAGATTATTTTAAAATGGCTTATTTGATTTGATTCATGCTCACAGTCAACAAGACTGGATTATGCAGAATGTTTCCACACTGACCTGCACTAGCTCTCCTCCCACCAGGGCCCGGGTGGTGGTCAGCACCTTGCTGTTGTCTTTCCTGGTGAATCTACCCTTCAACACGTCTCCCTCCATCTCCCAGGCACCCTGTGGGACAGATAGGGTTAACGGTGACTGTAATGTATGTCGCTCGTAGAGATTATATATGCTCAAATCACCCATTGTTATCAATGCATGGATTAGACATGCGTTTGAGTGACAAGACATACCTAGGGCATAGGTTGATTCAAGCAAATGGTTAGCCAAATATGAGCTTATAAAGAAATGGTTAGCCAAACATTAACTAATACAACCAATATATACAGTACCAGTCAAAAGTTTGGACACACCTACTCATTCCAGGGTTTTTCTTTATTTTTACTATTTTCTACATTGTAGAATAATAGTGAAGACATCAAAACTATGAATTAACACATATGGAATCATGTAGTAACCAAAAAAGTGTTAAACAAATCAAAATATATTTTATATTTGAGATTCTTCAAATAGCCACCCTTTGCCTTGATGACAGCTTTGCACACTCTTGGCATTCTCTCAACCAGCTTCATGAGGTAGTCACCTGGAATGCATTTCAATTAACAGTTGTGCCTTCTTAAAGCGGAAGCTGAGGCAGCGGCGTCTCCTGTCTCGCCTGCGACATCGCGGGAACCCCACCTACCACCTCCGGAGATGTGTGACGGCGTCGTGAGAAGGCGCACGAGAGAGGGATGATGCAAGGCTTGTCCAGGATGGAGAGGCAGCGGCGTCTGCGCCAGGGACGTTGTCTGTACTGCGGCCAGGCAGGTCACCACTGCGACTCATGCCCGGGGTAAGCGGGGAAACAGGAGGGCCTCGCTAGTATCGGGAGGGGTGCTAGCGAGCCGGAACCGAAACCCCAACTCCATGGACTCCCAGACTTTTCTCCCCGTCAGGGTTCAGTGGGCCCGCGATGCGCGTCGGCTGCATGCACTGGTAGATTCTGGGGCCGCGGGAAACCTGATGGACGTGGGGCTGGCCCAAGGGTGGAGCGTTCCGTTACTCTGCCACTCCGAGCCGGTTCCGGTCATGGGCCTGGACGGCCGGCCGTTGGGGTCGGGCTTCATCACCCGTTGCACTGTCCCCGTGCGTGTCAGGGTGGCAGGGGGGCTATAGGAGCATATCCACTCTCCGGAGTGTCCCCTCATCCTCGGGCATCCCTGGCTGGTCGCCCACAAACCCCGGATAGACTGGTCCATGGGGCGGCTCATCCTGGAGGGAGGCTCCGCCCGCGTCCTGTTCCGGTCTCCACCGACCACTCATCAGCCCAAACCACCGTCCCAAACCACCTACCAGTCCTCACCTCTTCCCCAGGTCCCGCACTCCGAACCGCCTACCGCCCTAGCGGTGGTTGCCACCGGGAGGACGGCGGCTACAGACTCCGTCACCGGCCCAGACCTGGCAGGCGTTCCCTGGGAGTATTGGGATCTGGGGGAGGTGTTTAGTAAGAGGCGTGCCAAGGGCCTACCTCCTCACAGACCATAAGACTGGGCTTTCGATCTCCTGCCGGGCGCCATGCCCACACGAGAGCGATTGTTGTCCTTGTCCCGGCCGGAGACACTGGCCATGAGGGAGTATATCAACGAGGCACTCGTCGAGGGTCACATCTGCCCCTCCACCTCACCCGCGGGCGCGGGCTTCTTCTTCGTGGGGAAAAAGGATTGTGGGCTCAACGACATCACGGTTAAGAACCGCTACCCACTCCCCCTGATGATGATGGCATTCGAGTCGTTGCAGGGAGCCCGGGTCTTCACCAAGCTGGACTTACGAAATGCCTACAACCTGGTGAGGATTCGGGAGGGGGACGAGTCGAAGATGGCTTTTAACACACCCAGTGGGCATTACGAGTACCAAGTCATGCCGTTCGGTCTAGCCAACGTGCCTGTGGTGTTCCACGCGTTGGTCAATGACGTGCTCCAGGACAAGGCGGAGAAGTGCGTGCTCCACAAGGAGCCAGTCTCCTTCCTGGGGTTCATCGTCACCCAGGGTGACCTACAGATGGACCCAGCCAAGGTCAGCGCGGTTCTGGATTGGCCCCAGCCCTCCTCCCTCAAGCAACTACAACGGTTTTTAGGGTTCGCTAATTTTTATAGGTGATTTATTCGCAATTTTAGCTCCCTAGCCTCTCCCCTGACAGCCCTCACCCAGATGTGCATGCGCTCCTTCGCCTGGACCCCGGAAGCATTAAGCAGCGCTTTACATCGGCCCCGGTCCCAGGGCACCCTGATCCGTCCGTTCATTATGGAGGTGGATGCTTCAGACGTTGCGGTGGGAGCAATCCTGTCCCAGCGGTTCCTCACGGACGGTAAGACTCACCCCTGCGCATTTTTCTCCCGTCGGCTGTCTCCGGCGGAGAGGAATTTTGACGTGGGGAACCATGAGCTGCTAGCGGTCAAGCTCGCCCTGGGGGAGTGGAGGCATTGGCTAGAGGGGGCCACCCATCCATTCGTCGTATGGACTGACCACAAAAACTTAGCCTACATTCAGGGGGCCAAGAGGCTCAACTCGCGCCAGGCCAGGTGGGCGTTGTTCTTCACCAGGTTCCGGTTCACGATCTCATACCGTCCGGGGTCGAAGAACACCAAGCCTAACGCGCTCTCCCGGCAGTTCGACCCCGTGGACCTGGTGGAGAGGGACGACCCCCGGCGGTCCCGTTGGTCAATGCCCACATCAGTCGCTGTCGCAAACACCGGGAGGCAGGTACGGGCAGCGCTTAAGCAGACCTCGGTCAGGTGTCAACATCAGGCCAACCGCAGGCATCGCCCGGCCCCAGTTTTTTGCCCGGGACAGAGGGTGTGACTCTCCACGCGGTGTCCAGGAAGCTGTCCCCCCGGTTCGGTGGACCGGGTGGGTTATGGGCCGGAGGAGCGGTCCTGGGTGCCCTTGAGGGACATTCTGATTCTAATCATGATCCTATTGGTGTCACTTGTGTCTACCTGTTCACCTGTGTATTTATGCCCTCAGTTCCCTGTGTTCCCTTGCTCAGTTTTCTCTGCTAGTTTCTCTATGCTCAGCAGTACTAATCAGTGTCTGATCGGAGAAGTATGTACAGGTACTCGAGAAGTGTTCTCCCTGTTTCTTTATTATTTCAGTCGTAGTTACTATTTCGTATTTTGGCAGTCAGCCTGTTTTTGGAGACTTATTTGCTCCTCCTTTCTTTTATCATGTTAAGTCCGTTATTTTGTATCCTCGCTTCGGGACCACCAGTAAAATTTCACCATCTCTGCCTACTGCCTACTGTCTATCCTGCACTGCACCTGGGTCACACCTCACACCAACCCTTACAGAACAGCTCAAATAAGCAAAGAGAAACGACAGTCCATCATTACTTTAAGACAGGTCACTTTAAGACAGGTCAGTCAATATGGAACATTTCAATAGCTTTGAACGTTTCTTCAAATGCAGTCGCAAAAACCATCAAGCGCTATGATGAAACTGGCTCTCATGAGGACCGTGACAGGAATGGAGGACCAGAGTTACCTTTACTGTAGAGGATAAGTTCATTAGAGTTACCAGCCTCAGAAATTGCAGCCCAAATAAATGCTTCACAGAGTTCAAGTAACAAACACATCTCAACATGAACTCTTCAGAGGGGACTGTGTGAATCAGGCCTTCATGGTCGAATTGCTGCAAAGAAACGACTACTAAAGGACACCAATAAGAAGAAGAGACCTGCTTGGGCCAAGAAACACGAGCAATGGACATTAGACCGGTGGAAATTTGTCCTTTGGTCTGGAGTCCAAATTGAAGATTTGTGAGACGTGGTGTGGGTGAATGGATGATCTCCGCATGTGTATTTCCCACCGTAAAGCATGGAGGAGGAGGTGTTATGGTGTGGGGGTGCTTAGGTGGTGACACTGTCTGTGATTTATTTCGAATTCAAGGCATACTTAACCAGCATGGCTACCACAGCATTCTACAGCGATACGCCGCCATCCCATGTGGTTAGGGCTTAGTGGGACTATCATTTGTTTTTCAACAGGACAATGACCCAACACACTTCCAGGCTGTGTAATGGCTATTTTACCAAGAAGGAGAGTGATGGAGTGCTGATGACCTGGCCTCAACCCAATCGAGATGGTTTGGGATGAGTCGGACCGCAGAGTGAAGGAAAAGCAGCCTACAAGTGCTCAACATATGTGGGAACTCCTTCAAGACTGTTGGAAAAGCATTCCAGGTGAAGCTGGTTGAGAGAATGCCAAGAGTGTGCAAAGCTGTCATCAAGGCAAAGGGTGGCTATTTGAAGATGCTTAAATATAAAATACACTGCTCCAAAAAATAAAGGGAACACTTAAACAACACATCCTAGATCTGAATGAATGAAATAATCTTATTAAATACTTTTTTCTTTACATAGTTGAATGTGCTGACAACAAAATCACACAAAAATTATCAATGGAAATCAAATGTATCAACCCATGGAGGTCTGGATTTGGAGTCACCCTCAAAATTAAAGTGGAAAACCACACTACAGGCTGATCCAACTTTGATGTAATGTCCTTAAAACAAGTCAAAATTAGGCTCAGTAGTGTGTGTGGCCTCCATGTGCCTGTATGACCTCCCTACAATGCCTGGGCATGCTCCTGATGAGGTGGCGGATGGTCTCCTGAGGGATCTCCTCCCAGACCTGGACTAAAGCATCCGCCAACTCCTGGACAGTCTGTGGTGCAACGTGGCGTTGGTGGATGGAGCGAGACATGATGTCCCAGATGTGCTCAATTGGATTCAGGTCTGGGGAACGGGCGGGCCAGTCCATAGCATCAATGCCTTCCTCTTGCAGGAACTGCTGACACACTCCAGCCACATGAGGTCTAGCATTGTCTTGCATTAGGAGGAACCCAGGGCCAACCGCACCAGCATATGGTCTCACAAGGGGTCTGAGGATCACATCTCGGTACCTAATGGCAGTCAGGCTACCTCTGGCGAGCACATGGAGGGCTGTGCGGCCCCCCAAAGAAATGCCACCCCACACCATGACTGACCCACCGCCAAACCGGTCATGCTGGAGGATGTTGCAGGCAGCAGAACGTTCTCCACGGCGTCTCCAGACTCTGTCACATCTGTCACATGTGCTCAGTGTGAACCTACTTTCATCTGTGAAGAGCACAGGGCGCCAGTGGCGAATTTGCCAATCTTGGTGTTCTCTGGCAAATGCCAAACATCCTGCACGGTGTTGGGCTGTAAGCACAACCCCCACCTGTGGATGTCGGGCCCTCATATCACCCTCATGGAGTCTTTTTCTGACCGTTTGAGCAGACACATGCACATTTGTGGCCTGCTGGAGGTCATTTTGCAGGGCTCTGGCAGTGCTCCTCCTGCTCCTCCTTGCACAAAGGCGGAGGTAGCGGTCCTGCTGCTGGGTTGTTGCCCTCCTACGGCCTCCTCCACGTCTCCTGATGTACTGGCCTGTCTCCTGGTAGCGCCTCAATGCTCTGGACACTACGCTGACAGACACAGCAAACCTTCTTGCCACAGCTCGCATTGATGTGCCATCCTGGATGAGCTGCACTACCTGAGCCACTTGTGTGGGTTGTAGACTCGTCTCATGCTACCACTAGAGTGAAAGCACCGCCAGCATTCAAAAGTGACCAAAACATCAGCCAGGAAGCATAGGAACTGAGAAGTGGTCTGTGGTCACCACCTGCAAAACCAGTCCTTTATTTTATTGGGGAGGGGGGTGTCTTGCTAATTTCCTATAATTTCCACCTGTTGTCTATTCCATTTGCACAACAGCATGTGAAATGTATTGTCAATCAGTGTTGCTTCCGAAGTGGACAGTTTGATTTCACAGAAGTGTGATTGACTTGGAGTTACATTGTGTTGTTTAAGTGTTCCCTTTATTTTTTTGAGCAGTGTATATTTTGATTTGTTTAACTCTTTTTTAGTTACTACATGATTATTATTTCATAGTTTTGATGTCTTCATTATTGTCCAAACTTTTGACTGGTAGTGTATATTCATTGTAAACTGGTCCCTGACAAGTAAATAGACCAAAATAAACTTGCAGAAAGGCACACTGGGAAATATGTTAATGATACTTGTATGTCAAACCAATGCAGTATTTTAAGTTAGGGGTCTCCTGTGTGATCAACGCCGCTATTTGTGTTGCAAAAGTAAAACATCAATATTTTAACTCATATTGAGCAGAAATCATTGGGTTAATGGAGTATTCCATGTCAGCTCAACAATTACCCAATTTTAAGTCCTGCTTCATGGACTTTGTCTATGTTGGATTTTTTTTAACCTATGGCTGCAAACATTGAGGCTGCTTATTCTAATGGGTTACCCTGTATGGACTAAATCCCTGTATGGACTAAATCCCCCCAAAACGTTTACAGTGTACAATCATGCATAGGTCACTGCCAGACTTCAGAAGGCTGACATCGTATTAACTGTTGTAAAAGTTAAACTCTTCCAATTCCATCATCAGCATGATGCCACTTTTTTTCAAAGCATGACAACAGGTAATCAATGACACAAAGCAGAAGTGATTTGAAGGATTTACGTTTTATGAAGGCTTTATGACTTTGTTTAGACTTCAATCTCTACAGCTGTCTGTTGGACGCTGTGTACAATGGCCTACTAAAATAAGTTTAGGTTTAAAGAGTTGAAACATACTGAGACTTCGGTGCCGTCGGCCAGTGCATAGTCAAACTGGACGCCCAGGGTGAAGTCGATGTCTTTGGTGCGGAAGGTGCTGGATTCCTTGATGTGGAACTTGTCTCCTGTCTGCTCGATGATAACCTTCAGGTTGTCATGTTCAGCCAACTTCCTCTTCATCACATTGATGCCTGTTGGAAAATGCAATAGATGAGTGTTGTATATGAGGGGTGGGTCTGAATCTCTTGGTGTAATGGCTGGATAGATATTTAAATGTTCAAGCCCCCCATTTGGGCAACTAAACATGTTTTATTTACTTAGGTAGGTAACTGTTATCAATTAGGTCCAAGGTCAAATTTGCCCATTTATTCATACTAACTAAATATACTGTCTGGAAATGGTGTGCGTGCATCACTGTAGTTTTTTTCCATTATGCCCCGATCCCAAAAAAAGCTTGTGTTTGTTGACAAGCTTTTAAAATGGCAACGGCCAAGAGTTATTATTGCAGCTGTGCTGCCTCTAACTGGTAACTCACATTACACTCAAATAAGCCACAGGATCAAAGATTACCCCCGAAGCGGCACACGTCTCCAAACCCACACTGTCATAACAATAACAACACTTGCTTTATATAGGATGACATGATGTAAGTCTGACAGTAGCGTAAGTGCTGATCATACCAAGCCACGTTGGAAATAGCATCCCTCATTGAGATGTACAACATCACCTTTCATAAAACACATATATACACACACACATACACACACACACACACACACCGACTCACCCATCTGCTCCATGAACTTGTCATAGTTCTCGTTGCGTTCAACTTTCCAGGTACCATTGAATGCCATGGCTATGGCAGGACTGTGGCAGGACTGTGGCAGGACTGAGAATGCCCGTTGGCCTCCCTTTATATATAAGCCCCAGTTGGGGCATGCTCTTCTTTATCTAACTGATTAACTGTCTGCTGATGTGGCCATTTAAAGCTGATGTCAAATACAGGGCGATCACTGCACGCCCTCAACGATACAAAGATACACGGCCAAGGGCAACTCCCTCCCCAGCACTGGCACATGGTCACAGTGTAGCACTGTTCTATTTCAGAGGGGGAAAAGCGTCTGTTTATAGGGCTCTCCTTGGCAGGTTTCCCAGGGGACCTCTCTCTCTCTGTCTGTCTGTCTGTCTGTCTGTCTGTCTGTCTGTCTGTCTGTCTGTCTGTCTGTCTGTCTGTCTGTCTGTCTGTCTGTCTGTCTGTCTGTCTGTCTGTCTGTGTCTGTCATGTCAATGGGCCCCTAATGAACCGCTCATTGATGATGGGAGAATTCTAGAATTGTTTTATTGGGCTGACTGAATTCGCCCCACAACTAGAATGTTTTTTTTTTTTTGTAGTTGATGATACAACTTCGATGTGTATATTGCAGCCTGATATGTTCAGTGTATTCCCCAGGTCAATGGTGTGGTGGTCATTTCTTACAGAGGAGATTCTGTGCCCTTGAAACTGGCATACTTTATAAATGTGAACGATGGAGGAATATTGTCACTTACCATTGCCAATATTGTCACTTACCATTGCGAATTAAGTCATTGCATAGAGATTAGATACAGTCGGGCCTCCTGGAAAAACCTTGTATCTCCATAAAGGAGACCTTTCACGAATTGATTGCCATATAGTCAAGGAAATTCACAATACATTTTTGAATAACTTTGGTGTGTCTCAGAGTCATGAAACCTTCACAGCACATGGAGGGGAATGACTACTCACAATTTATGTTTGAAAAAAATAATAATCTACATCAATAGGGATACAAGCTTTTTCCAGGATGTTGATGATAGTGGAGTAGGACACCATTTTGGTCAGCAGGAAACGGTTCCTAGGAGGTGTAAAACTGGGACACACCGGGGGCAATAGAAATCCTCAGGTGTGGCTCAGGCGCCAGAGATGCTATGTTGACGTCACAAATGATAAATCTTTTATGTCCTTACAACAAGTGCTTGAACTCTGCACGAGTCTTCTTCTGCACACCACGTTATCAAACCCCTTTGGAATGATGGGTGGTATTCAACAGTAGATTTTTTTAAAGGAGTTCAGCTCAGGTGACATGATAACACTGTTTATATTCCGTAGATAATCACTGATAACCATATGGGATGCCTTGTTCCAAAGTACAAAAGTACTCATTGATTGACAGCATTCTTCATACAAGTTGAAGTCTCAGTGTGAAGTCTGACTATACCAGTAATTGACATAACGGAAATATCAACCTGTGGTTGTTGTTATGAAATGCTAATGTACTGCTTATTAAAGTGTTATGTATGGATTATGAGTGTGTTATGTAGTCCTTAATGTAGGTGCCCTTCAACAATACTCATGCAGTAATACAAATATAATACTACACTGCTGAAGTAACTTTTACTGAGGCCCTATCAACTTAAACATTCAGGTCCGTTTTGTAACCTGTAACATGAACTTTCCCACACATCTAACATTGCCATGTCATGCTATATTTACTGTACACCACAGGAGGTTGGGGAGAATGGGCTCTTGGTAATGGCCGGAAGCGGAATTCTGGAATGGTATCAAATACAGCAAAAACATGGTTTCCGTGTGTTTGATGCCATTCCAAACGCTCTGTTCCAGCCATTATTATGAGCTGTCCTCCCCTCAGCAGCCTCCACTGCTGTACAATGTCATACATGCGTATGTCTTGAGTTCCTCAAAGTGTAAATCAAAGAGGCGCTGATCAAATGCTATTCACCTCAGTTATCAAATCAAGGTCTGATTTAGACTATTCTCTTAGAATCATCTCTTTTTGACAACAGGCCATTGTAACAGCATGTTATCTCAGTGCAAATGTCAAAAGCCACAAAAAAAAAGTGTCTATGATGTGATTTACCGTTTGATAAAACCAAATGTGTAATCAACTGTACCGAACAGTCTCTCCTCTCCATAACCATTTTACTGCTGTCCATAAAGGCCTGTGTACTTTGACACATTGGATACTGTCACTGTGCAGTATGTTCTATGTTTGTGTGGGTTTAGAATGACAAAATCATATGATGTAAACCTTTAATTAAACACTCCCCTGTCCTTTCCTCACCAGATTAGCAGCTTTTCCCTTTAACATACTCTCTCTCCCTTCCTTCACCTCTCTCTCTCACATTCCTTCACCCTCTCTCTCTCTCTCTCTCCCTCTCTCTCTCTCTCTCTCTCTCCCTTCCTTCACCTCTCTCTCGCTCCTCCTCTCGCTCTCTCCTCTCTTCTCTCTCTCCTCTCTCTCTCTCCTCTCCCTCTCACTCTCTCTCCTCTCACGCGTCCGCCCCGAGAGCCCGAGAGCCCCCCGCCGCCCGCGCCTCGCTCCTGAGCGGCCTGAGCGAGCCCGGCCCTTCCCCCGTAGCCCCAGCCACGCGCCCCCGGGAAAGAAGCCGGCAGCCTAACCCCACGACCAAAAGCCGGTCCAAACGAAACGGACGGAAGGGGAAACACGACGCAGGAAACAAGGAAAAACGCAAGGACCCAAAAAAAACAGGTCCAACGCAAAACACGACAATATAGAAGCGAAGAGACCCCGTGACCCCCCGCGGGCAACGCCCCCGGCAGAAAGAACCACCCCACAAACCTTCATCCCCCCTTCCTCCCCCTCCTTACCCCCCCCCTCTCCCTCCTCCATTCTTAATTTTCAGGCATTTTTAAAAATAATTAATTACTCATCAATTACTAACACGTGGCACCCAAATTTATAGGGAAAGATATACCTAACCAAAATATCATATAATAGAAAATACATAAAATATATACAGTCAAAATGAGTCATGTTGCCAAAAAAAAACGGAAAATTTTTCCCCCCGCATTCCCCAAAAATTTTTTTAGAGTTAAATAATGGGAAAATATTTAAAGAAATCTTTCTTTGGACTCCTCTCCCAGCTAGGCTCACACCCCCGCGCTCCCTCCCTCCCTCAAAAAACCCCCCTTCCACCCCTTTTCCCTTCTCCTTCACCCCCCCCGGCGCCCAACCCCTCCCCCCCCCACCCCGGCCCCCCCCCCCTCACCCCTTCCCCCTCCCTCCCTTGACCCCCCCTCTTCGCCACTCCCCCTCCTCCCTCCGGTAACCCCCCCCGGGCCCGCTCAACCCTTTCCTCTCGCCCGCCTCACCTTTACCCCCCCCCCGCTCCCTCTCTCTCAATTCAATTCAATATACTTTATTGACATGGCAAGTTAATAATAATAATAATAATAATAATAAGTTAAATTACTTACATTGTCAAAGTCTACATATAACAAAAATCGTTGGGACCAACAGCAATAATAATAGTAGTAGTAGTGGAAATGGGATTACCATTAACAGCAACTACAACAACAATATTAATGAGAATAACAATACATTAAAGCAATAGTAGTAGACCAGTCTCAACATGACTGAGTATGACATGGTATGAAAGCCAAAACAAAACAGGAAATATTATTGCACATTTTGGCATTTCATCCAATAAATATTTGATTTTTCATAGTTTCAAATTCTTTGTACTGAATGATAATTTTGGGAAAGAAAGATTCTCTTAGGTCTGAGTATTTGTCACAGTGTAATAGGAAATGCAGCTCTGTCTCTACCTCTCCCCGGGGGCAGAGTGAGCACAGCCTGTCCTCTCTGGGCAGCCAGGTTTGCCTGTGACGACCGGTCTCTATAGCCAGACTGTGCTCACTGAGTCTGTACCTAGTCATTGTTTTCCTCAGTTTTCTATCAGTCACAGTGGTCAGATAGTCTGCCACCATGTACTGTCTGTTTAGAGCCAAATAGCATTGAAGTTTACTTGGATTTTTTGTGGTGTCTCACATCACCGTTTTTGTAGAGGTCTGCGAAAAGGGTTTCTGGGCTCCCCTTTTGTAGATTTTGTTTAAAAGCTTTCCTCGTTGTGTCATTTTTGGCCTCTGGAGGGTAGAGAATGGACTCAGCGCTGAGGGGGAGTGGGGACATGGTGCCTGTGGACTCTGGAGGGTAGAGAATGGACTCAGTGCTGAGGGGAGTGGGGACATGGTGCCTGTGGCCTCTGGAGGGTAGAGAATGGACTCAGCGCTGAGGGGGAGTGGGGACATGGTGCCTGTGGGCTCTTATCTGGACTGCGCTCGTTCGCTGCACTGTTGCTGAACGGGCTTTGGTGTATGGTGCTGTTGTAGCTGCTTGGTTTAGGCTCAAAAAGCAAGGATCAGTGAGATTCACAAAAAAAGAGAAATGGTTGTTAGGGCTTGAGGTGTGACTCTTTGATTACTCAGTGTCTAGGTAGTGTGAGCTCCCTGTAGGTTGTTAGCTCTTTCTGGGTGGCATTGTTGCCTGCTGGGGTTGCTATAATGTTAGTTGCTGCTTGGTCAAAACTCTGAATCTGTTGCCATGGTTCATCAGCTTTGTTTCTGAATCTTGTAGTAGCTTGTTCTCAAACCAGCAAAATAGTGTCTAAATTCTTCACACACCAAAAACACGAAGATATGTTTAATAGTAAGTCGTTGCTCTTTTTATTACTCAGTTGGTCGTTTGATCTAGTTTGTTAGCTCCATTGCTGGTTGTTATAGCTCCATTTCCTGGCTCCTTGTTAGCCTGCTGCTAGGTTTTTGTTGTAGCTACTACGAGAGTAAAGATTCTAATCGATTGTGTGGTCATCACTTCTTGAATCTTTTAGATTCGAGGTTTATCTCTTATTCTTCAAAAAACAAAGACTGAATCAGAACTCAAGGATCCATGAATGAGTAGAGTAAAAGAGCAAGGCTACTCGTAGAGAGTATGAAGAGAGAGAAGACACGAGATCTGAGTGATCGCTAGATAGAGAGAGTAGAGCGCTCTCTCTCATATCTATCTCTTCTCTCTATCTCTATCTCACTCTCCCCCCCTCTCTCATGTCTCTCTCTCTCTCTCCCTCTCTCCCTCTCTCTCATGTCTCTCTCTCTCCCTCTTTCTTTCTGGTCACCATCTCTAAAACCCGGGACAGAAGGTACTACAATCAAACATTTCTTGTAAAGCATGTCCACAATGGGCCTCCCGAGTTGCGCAGCGGTGCCACTAGAGATCCTGGTCTAGGCTCTGTCGCAGCCGGCCGCGACCGGGAGACACATGGGGCGGCGCACAATTGGCCCAGCGACGTCCAGGTAAGGGGACGGCTTGGCCGGCA